TCCTCTTCCTCCTCCGCCTCCTTCTCCACGTCCTCCGCTCCTCCCCCTTCCTCCTCCCTCCTCCTCATTCATACCCCCCCCCTCCCTCCCTCCCTCTTCCCCTCCTCCCACCATCCCCCCCCCACAACTCCCCCCACCTCCGGCTCCTGCTCTCCTCCATACTCTTCTCCTCCTCCCTCGCCTCCTCCTCCTCCCTCCTTCCTCCCCCTAGTCCTCCATGTCCTCGTCCCGTCCCCCTCCTCCTCCTCCTCCTCGTCCTCGTCCTCCGTCCTCCTTCTCCTCGCACCTCGTCCCTCGTCCTCGTTTCCTCTGATCCTCCCCTCTTCCTCCTCTTTTCTCTCCCTCCTTCTTCCTCGTCCTCCTCCTCCTCCTCCTCCCACTCCATCCTTCCTCCTCCTCCAAACACCCCTCCTCCTCCTCCTCCTCCATCCTCCTCCTCCTCCTCCTCCTCCTCCTCCTCCTCCCCCTCCTCCTCCTCCTCCTCCTACTCCTATCCTTATTTCTTATTAGAATATACTCCTACTCCCCCCTCAGGCCGGCCATTACGGGCCGCATCCGGGGGGTCCCATCCTAACCTGTAAAAAAATACAAAATCAACATTTTTCTTATTTTTTCCTCTCGACATGGACGTCCTGTCGTCCACGGCGATAATCCATTGCAAAAAAAAACACAAAGAGCACACGCACGCGTTCATGTCAGAATCCTACCGAACACCGTGTGTTTGCAAGCATTTCAAAATAAAAACATCAAAAACCCAATGCTTTTGTCACAAAAATTGTGCAAAGTTCCCGCCCGGGCTCTCTTGCTGAAATCATCGGAAAACCATAGGAATCTTAAGAATTCGGTCGAATCCAGCGATTTCACGTCATCGCGCGGTGCACTCGCGATGCTCTGTCATGCACCCAGGCCGCGAATCCTGTGCAAAAAATACAACAAAGAGCACACTCGCGCGTTCATGTCAGAATCCAACCGAACACCGTGTGTTTGCAAGCATTTCAACATAAAAACATCAAAAACCCAATGCTTTTTCACAAAAATGCTTTGGGGTGTCCTGTCAGACCGTCGGGCTTCCTCCGGCCACCTCTGGCTTCCTGCGGTGTACCGGGCCATTCTCGACTCGTCTGGCAATGCGTGCGCGGCATTCAACACGCGCTCGCCAGTTCCCGTCGGCAACCGCCATCGCTGCCGCATCAGCTGTACCAAACCGGCTGGCCGGTGTGACTTCGGCCCCCAGTTGTGCCAGCTTTGCTTCTTATGTTGTGGGAGGGCGGGTGGGACTGGGCATGCCATGCTTACTCGCTCGAGCTGGCTAGCTTGACTCCTACTCCTACTCCTACT